CTGGATTCCGCCGTCGGCACCCCTCTCACGGGGAAAGCCGCCCCTCCGCCATGCGGCTTCTGGTCCCACCAGCAAAGAGTCTCATCTTTCCCTTCGAAGTAATAGCTCGTTGCTGGTCTTTGCCCCACTTTTAAAAATCAACTACTTTTTAAAATTAAAACCTTAAAAATGTGCATACAATAAAAACCACACTTTGGGGGCGTACAGCCAAGTTTTGAGAAGTGATACAGCTATGTTACCACCACCACAAACAAGGCACAGAACACTCCCCTCCCCAAACCTGGGGCTGACTCTTTGAAGCCGAACCCTCCCCATCCCGGGCCCCAGCCACCACTAACCTGTTTTCTGTCACTATGGTGTTCCCTTTTTACAGTCATCACAGAAATGGAATCCTACATGTAGCATTTGGGGCCTGGCTTCCGTCAGTGTGAGAGGCATCCGTGTTCGTCTTCACGGCTGACTAGTATTCCACCGCACTTTTGGTGGTGAAAAGGGTGAACCACACTTTTGACTCCTCAACCCACGGACATGCTGTTGTTTCCAGTGTGGGGCAATTGTGAATGAAACTGCTGTAAACATTCACCTTCAGGCTTTGGTGTGAACCTAAGTTTTCACGTCCCTTGGGTAGATGCTTAGGAGGAAGCTGCTGGATTGCATAGTAGGTGTATGTCTAACTTTATAAGAAACTTCCAGACTTTTCCAAAGGTGTGTCTTCTTACATCCCCACCAGCAATGTGAGTTCTGACTGCTCTCTGTTGCCCTCACACTGGTATTAGTTTTAAATTATTATTAAAGTAATTCTAATATGTGCGCAGTGGTCCCTGTATGGTGTTCAGTGACATTTCCCTAATAATGCCAAGAATCTACTCGTGCGCTTCTCTGCCCTACACCCACATACCTCCTTTGGCGAAGTCTCTGTCCAAGACTTTTGCCCACTTTGCAAACAGGGGGTTTTGTTTTGTTGAGTTTTGAGTGTTCCCTACACGTTCTTGATACAGGTCCTCCCTGAGATCTGTGAGTGGCAAACACCTCCTCCCAGTCTGTGGTTTGCCTCTGCGTTCTCTTAGCTGCCTCATTCAAAGTGAGGTGGTGGTTCTTCCGTTAGTATGTTGATGTGGTGAATTGCACTGACTTTCAGATGCTGACTCAGCCTTCTATCCCCAGGAAAAGCTCCACTTATCTTGATGTATCACTCTTTTCGTGTGCTTCTGGATTTGTTTGCTAATGTTTGGTTGAGGATGTTTTTTTCACCTATGTTCATGAAGGAGACTGGCCTGCAGTTTTCTAGACCAAGTGCACATGGAACATTCACCAAGATAAACTATATTGTGGGCAACTAAACAAACTTTTAACAAAAGTTTGAAATTTTTAAAAATATAATTGAAGTCATACAAAATATGTTCTCTTACTGTATCAGAACAAAAATAGTAATAATAGAAAAACGCATTTCTAAATCAGCCATTACACCACAAGGATCTCTTAAAGGAAATCAGAAAACATTTTGAACTGAATAAAAATAAAAATGTATCAAAATTCATGGGATGCAGCTAAAGCAGTGTCTAGAGGAAAATGTATAGCATTTGAATTTTTATCATATTAGAAAAGAAGGTCTCAAATCAATAATCTTAAGTCTCCACCTTTAAGAAACTAGAAGAAGAAAACTAAACCCAAAGCAGAAGGAAGGAAATAATAAAGAATAGAAATCAATGAAATAGAAAACTCAAAAACCAGCGGAAAAAATAAAAGTCCAGGCATTTCCTTGAAAAGATCAATAGTATTAATAAACCTCTAATCAGACTGGCCAAGAAAGGGGGAAATGATCAGCATCAGAAGTGACATACGGGACTCTGCACAAGCTGACAGTGAAGGCAGGCTAGAGACCCCATGGCCATGTCTGCAAGGGACCAATTCCCTGAAAGACACAAACTGCTACAACTCACTTATGAAGAAAGAGATAACCCAAATGGCCCTAAATCTACATAAGGAATTGAATTCCATAGTTAAAAACCATGCAATTAAGAAAACCACAGGGCCAGGGGAGGGGAGGGCCCAGTGGTAGAGCGCACATGTTGCAGGCACCAGGTCCTGGGTTCAGTCCCCAGTTCCTCTGTTAAAGTAAATAAATAAACGTAATTACCTCCCCCTCAAAACTGGAAAAAAAATTTAAAAAAGAAAATCACAGGACCAATATTGGACATTAATACCACATTGTAAATCAACTACACTTCAATTAAAAAAAAAAGGATCAGACAGTCCCCCTGGGGAGTCCTCAAACATTTAAGGAGGAAAAGACACCTGCCTGTTTTAGAAGCCCCTACATGTGCCCCTCCTGAGTGCCCGTACACACACACACACACACTCTCTCACTCTCTCTCAAGGAAAAAGCAAACGGCACAGCTTTGTATTAAAAGCAGTGTTTATCTAGGAGGTGTGACCCCAGATCATCCCCGGCTCTTCCAAGAGGAACCAGAGCTCTCATCCAAGGTGCCGTGCGGTCTGGAGGCCACGGTCATGGCAAAGGAAGCTGGCACGGGCCACATAGGGACCTGATGCTGGAAAGGGCCCCAGACTGATGAAGATAAGGTGCCATGCTGCCTAGGACCCAGCCCACCCCACTCCTTGCTGAGGGAGGAATCTGAGCTCAAAAACAAACCAAGACCCGAGCAGTGGTTCCAAACCCACAACAATCCTTGTTCCTGAGGGAAGGCGGGCAGGGGCCTCCCCCGGGGGCCCGCGGGGAGCACTAGCAAGGTCCTGCCAGCCACTGCTGTGGGGATCCAAGCCCAGGCAGCCGGCCCCTGACAAAGGAGACAGGTCGGGGTGGGGGTGGCCGAGGTGGCTCTGGGGTCCTCCCAGGACCGTTGCCTGTGAACAGCAGCCGGGGGGGGGGAGGCTGGGCCCCGTCTGCAGGCAGGCCCTCCCCGCCTTCATCTGGTGCCCTGCTCTGCATGCCTGTGTGGACCCCAGGGACTTGGGGCAGGTCCAAGGGGCGTCACGTCTCAGCTAGGTCACCAGGCCTCTGCTCCCGTGCCCTCCAGGCAGGCCACGCCAAGCCATCTGCCCCTCTGCCCTCCCTTCTGATCCCTTTGGCAGATGGAAAGATGGACAGTATGCTCATCCTGCCAGACCAGACGGCCGTGAGGCAGGAGGCAGGGCTGCCAGTCTCAGCGAGCATTCAGCTCCTCGTTCTGTGCCCGTCCTGCGGGCACTCAGGGCTGCTCCCTGGTCACCAAATCCACAGGGCAGGCTGTAGGGGGTCCTGCCCCACCAGAAGAAAAACAGGGAACCTGCCTCTGACGCAAGGTTGGGGAGCAGGCCCCCATGGGCAAGGACGACCCCTTCCCGCAGTGCTGGCCTGAATCTGCTGGGTTCGTGGACTCCTGAAGTTATCACCTGGGTTTTATTGGTGGCTGGTCTCATCACGGGATGGGCCGTCCACTGAGCCTGCCTGGCTGGCTGCCTGCCTGCACCAAGGCCTCAGTGGGCAAGGGGAAGAGGCCAGGGGGAGGGCGAGGCTGACCGCAGACCCCTGAGGGGAACCACTCTTTGATGGGACATGGGGGCTGTAGGCACTGGGGACAGGACAAAGTTGGGGGGTCCTGGGAGCATGGGCCAGGGACTCTGCTGGTGGCCCAGGCTGACGAGGTCACGAGTTTAAGAAGGCGAAAGCCGACGGCTCCGAGCCAGACGGTTCTTTGGCTGCCATCCTCTGAGACGACATCCAGGGGGCCTGGCAGGGCTCCCCCACAGCAGGCCCGGCCCCCACCAGGCGGGGACAGGCCACCAGCTCCATGCCAGCAAATAAGGAGTGGGAGCTGCCGCTGGGGCCCGGGCCCAGCTCTGGCCCCCACTGTCGGGTGTCCATGCCCACTGGGCCCCGCTCAGATCCAGGCCCCTGCTCTGTGGAAGCTGCCAGTCTGGTTTCAGCCTCCACAGCATCCCCAGGGGCTGGAAGCAGGCAGCTGTCCAGGGGGGTGGGAGACACAGGGCCAGGATGCAGCCCTGATGGGGGAGCAGTGCTCCTGGGTGTGAACAGAGCTGAACTCAGAGGCTGCAGGAAGGCCTGGTCCCCGGCTAAAGGCAGGGCATCGGTCAGCAGGTCTGATGGGCCCACATGTGCAGCTGTGGGGCCAGGCTCAGCTGGGGGCTTCCGGGCAGGAGGCCACTGTCGGCAGGAGGCTTCAAAGTGTCTCAGGATCTATACAGGACAGAAATAGACTCATGGACAGAGAATACAGACTTGTGGTTACCAGGGGGGCAGAGGGTGGGAAGGGATAGACTGGGATTTCAAAATTGTAGAATAGATAAACAAGATTACACTGTATAGCACAGGGAAATATACACAGAATGTTATGATAAATCACAGAGAAAAAAATGTGACAATGAGTGTGTGTATGTCCATGAATGACTGAAAAATTGTGCTGAGCACTGCAATTTGACACAACACTGTAAAATGATTATAAATCAATAACAAATGTTAAAAAAAAAGTGTTTCAGGATCTGGATGAGGGAAGAAAAGGGGCATCGGTGAGGCTTCTGTGCTCCGCAGGAATCGCGGACGGCTTGGCCCTCCCCGCACCAGTGCCTGCCTCAGTGCCGCCGCCCAGAGCAGGGGAGGGCCGGCCAGCTGCTCCCACCCGTTCTCCTGTAGTCCCACCCTGGGGAGCAGCAGCGCTGGGGAGGACAGTTAGGGACAGGTGACTAAGGAGCTGAATTTTCAGCCACCACAGAGGAAACGGGAAGCCAACAGCGGGTGAAGGGGCCAGGGCCTGGCTGCTGCCTAGAGGCCCCGAGGAAGATCCTGGGCTGCTCCCCAACACTTGTCAGCGGAAAGAGAACTCAGACACACAGAGCCACTTCCGTCTTCCAGGAGCTGGGGACCTGGAAGCAGAGCTCAGACCCATGAGCTGTGACACAGCGGAGAACAGAGGAATAGATCCATCCAAGCAGCCAAGGAGGGCTTCCTGCAGGAAGCCGTGTGTAAGATGAGTCATGAGGGGGACGGCGTTGCCCAAAGGACAGAGCTGCTAGGCAGCGGGGAGGGCAAGCGTGGGGTCCCAGGAATGGGAAGACACCAGGCCCCCAACTGCTGCTCCAGGGGCAGCAGGCAGGAAAGGGAGGGTCTGTGAGCGGCGCTGGGGCCTGGGGGCTGGGGAGTGGGGGCTGGGGGCTGGGGATCGGGGCGGGGGCGGCGCTCCGCCACTCACCTTGGTGGCCTTGTTGGTCACGGGTCCGGGGCGGCCCGTACTGAGCTCCTGCAGCCGCGGCCGGGCGAGCAGCAGGACGCGCTCCTGGGAGAGCAGGTCAGTGCAGCCGAGGGAGGCGATGGCCCCCAGGGCTCTCTGCGGGGCAGGCCTGCGGTCAGCAAGGGCCCTCACGGGAGTCCTGTGCTCACCCCCCACCTGTCTCCAGGGCAGGACACCCCCCGCCCCGCGGCGGCCGCCCTCACCATCTGCTCGTGCTCGCCAGTCCCGCCCAGGTGGCGGATCAGCAGCTCCAGCACAGCCTCACAGTTGAGGAGTCCACACCTGCACGGGGGCACCTGGGCAGTGGGACAGGGGCCAGGTGGGGGCGCAGAGCTGGGGCAAGGGCTGGGGGGTGCAGGGGTGGGGTCCTGGAGTGGCGGGGTGGGGGGCTCACTCTTTGACGAAGCGCTGCTCCTCCTCTCGGCTCAAGAAGGCGTGCGGCCCGCGAGTCACAGCCCGGACCAGGCTCAGCTCCTGCTGGTAGTCACCCGGGGTCATGGCCTCGACCCTGTAGGAGACATGCAGGTCAGGACAGAGCAGGGTGCCTCCCCGACCGGTGGGATCCTGGAGCTGGGATGGGGGGGTTGCCCTGGGCCCAGGCTCACCTTTCTGCCAGGTCACTGGGCGCCCGGCTGGTAACTGAGGGGCTGTCGCTGCCCGACCAACTGCTGGAGTCTGAGGCCCCGCCCAGGGCGCCATCCTCCTGGGAGGAGCTCTGAGAGCTGGGGCTGCTGTCCAGCTCATCCCAGCCGCCCCCGGCCTGCCCAGGCTGGCGTCTCACTGCTGGGGGAGACAGTGACCGAGGGTAAGGCCCTCTGGGGCCTCAGGCTGGCCTCGTGTCCGCCTCCCCAGGATCCTAGAACAGAGAGATGCAGGAAAGGCCTGGGGTCTGGGTCCTGAGATGTGGACGGGGCGGCCACCTGGGCTCCAGCTCTAGGACACACCAGGTGAGGGGAGATGGGGGCAGAGAGGAGCACATCCTTCCAGGGGACCTGCCCCGCCCGGAAGACGCAGGAAGCCGTGTCAGGAACCAGGGCCAGGCGGGGGCTGGATGTGCAGAGCAGCAGGGACACTGCCAGCACAGTGGCTCTCAAATCCTGGTGAGTCCTGACACCCTTCCTTTGAGCCATGAAAATGACGGCAGCTGCTGAGTGAGGTGGAGGTGGAGGTCACGGACAGCTATCTGGCCGTCCTCTCCCCCAGTGCACCAGAACACACGTGCCCCAGAGCCTGGTCCTCCTCGGGCGTCCCTGCCGTCCCGCACAGCCACCCAAACGTGTCGAATGCATGGACGAGGGCTGGGGCTGGGTTCTTGTCCCAGCTCAACCCTAGTCCTGCATCTGAACAGCTGGGACCTGGATAGGACCCACCCCTGGTGGGGCCGTTACACTGAAGCTCCCACCCAGAGCAGATGGACAGAGACATTGGACAGCGCAGGGACAAGGTATGGTTGGTCTGGATGCAGCCACCACAGAGGCCACGTGGAACTCATCACCTGGGCGGCTGGCTCTGAGTTCTGAGAGGTGGTGTGGGACAGGAGGGCGGGGCCTGTACACCACCCCACCACAGGTGAGCTGCTTTCTTCCTCCTCCATCTGCTCCCACCCAGCCAGCAGGTGACAGAAGCCCGGGGCCCTGGGAGGGGAAGCCAGACCCCACTGTGGGAGGGGTGTCACTTGATACCTCGGGCGCCCAGGCCGGCTGCGGGGAGTGGGTTCCCAGGAGTGGGGGGGCTGAGGCTGGCTGGAGGTGTCACGGCTGGCTGGTAGGCGTTACCCCGCGGCAGGGGCCTCTGGGTGCTGGGGCTCTCAGGCCCAGGGCGCACAGCGCTGGCCACCACCTCTGCGGCCTTCTGGATGGTGGACAGGAAGGCTTCACCTGCAGAGCCTGCACCAGAGGGAGAGGGGACATGGTGCAGCCACCACCCCCACGCCCTGTCTCCACGCTGCTCCCCACCCATGGCTTGGAGGTCAGGACACAAGCTGCACAGAGCAGAGGGCGCGCAGAGGAACCAGGCCCGTCGGGAAGCTTCTCCGGTGAACTCACTTCAGCATGCTCTGGCCCAGTGCAGCCTGAACACTCGGCAGCTTACAGCTCAGCTGTGCCCCTCGGTCCCCTGGGTCCCCGCCTCAGAGCAAGGGGCCTCCTGCTTGTCCTGAGAGCCCCAAACCTCCGTGGGCGCTTAGGGAGGCTCATGTCCAGTGCTGGGGGCTCTCCTGTGTGAGCACCCCAAGGAAGGGATCCAACCATCACCCCCAAATTAAGAACAGGTGAGGTCTCCAAGGCAGACCCACCTCAGGGATCAGAACTTCAGAAGGACCAGGGGACTGAGAGCGGGGACCAGGACCAGGACCATTAGCACAACAGCGGGACACAGCCCAGAGCCCACAAGAGGGCCACACGGCCCCGCTGCAAGCCGCAGGCACCCCCAGCAAGCATGGCTGGCACCGTTCCTGCCCTAGGTCATCTCTGTCACAGCTGGGGCCCCCGCCCTCTGCCCTCAGAGGAGCAGAGCTGGGGGCCCAAGTGCAGGCTGACCTTCAACCTGGCTTCTCACCTGTCAGTTAAGCAGAGCCGACCACACCTGCCCTGCTGCCAGGGGTGGGAGGGATGTCAGTGTGGGGCCTGAGGGGCCCACTCGCCGCCTCGCCCCCTCGCCCCATCGGCCGGCCCCTCGCCCCTTCAGCACTCACCTGTGTGGCCCCGCTCCTTGCTGTAGCCGAAGCCCTGCAGGGCACTCTGGGGCCTGGACTGGGAGCCCATGCCTGCGGGGACGCCCGTGTCAGTGGCCCTCCGAGGAGCAGTGAGCACACCCGGGACACTAGGGGAGGAGGGACCATGAGCCCGCCCAGAGGGGAACCTGGCCCCCCGTGATGGACATGGTTGCATACCTGCTGGAGGCAGGGCCCTGGAAGGCTGGGAGGGAGGCAGAGGTGACAAGGCGTCTGAGAACAGGGCAGCCCCCAAGTCCTGGGTGAAGACAGCAGACACTCAGCACTGCCGTGAGCCCACCGCTGTCACCCTGCCCCTGCTCCGCACACACCCCTCCCCAGAGGACCACGCACAGGGCTCCAGCCCTGCAGCAGGGGTAGAGCCAGGACCCTGGGTGGGGGGACAGGGAGCGACCGGGGTCCCGGGCTCACCTGGGCGGCCGCCCGCACCCTCTGGTACAAGCTGTTCCCGTGGAGAGGGTCCGGGGGGCCTGTGAAAACTGCAGACGAGGCAGAGAGAGGAGAGCCAAGCTGGGCTCTGTGGACCACCTCGAGGGGCGTGGCCTGCAAGCCCCCTCCCTGCATGGGCAGCCTGAGCTCCGTGCCCCCCGCCAGCCCGTGTCTGTGGGGCCGGGGTGGGCTTTATAAAGCACAGATGCCCCGCCATCCCAGGCCCGCGACAGCCCGGCCCTCGCAGCCCCTCGGCTTCCCCCTCGCCCACACCCCAAGCCACGAGGCTGAGATCCGACCTCCGGGGCACCACAGGGCGCGTCGCTCCCTGACCCCACGGCCGCCTCTTGCCTGGGCTCTCGCACCAGCAGCCCAACCGCCTCCCCGGACCCCTCCACCACCCGGCGGCAACCCGAACGGGGCCTCGTGCAACTCAAAACCCTCGAGTATCCCAGGGGCTTGACAGTAAAACTCAGGTTCCTCGGCCTCAATCGTCTCCTCTCGTAAAGCTTCAGTCGGGCCTCATCAGGTGAGCTTCCGCTGCACTACACCCCGCCCAGGCTCTCCCTGCCTCAGGGCCCTTGCGCTCCCGGGGGGACAACCCCCACCACCGCGCGTGCCTCACTCCCCCCTCCTCTCAGGGCTCAGAGCGAGAGCAGGGCCTGCCTGTTTCCTCTGTCCAAACGCATCTCTCTTCTCACCTGGCTGGTGCCAGCCCCAGGATGTGCAGACCATGGCCCCGCAACCAGTGGGCGGGCAGCCGGACACAGGAGGAGTGAAGGGACAGCAGCACCTCCCTGCCGTTCCTGCTGCAGCTCCCACCCTCCCTGCAGGACCCTGCTGGACCCCAGACACAGGACTGTCCTCTCTGTGCACCCCCCCGCCCCAGCACCACCTCCTCTCACAGCCCATGCAGGGCTATCTGCGCACCGTCCCCTGGGGCCAGTGCTCAGAGCTGGAGAGATTTTGGTGCCAACAGAGAACCCGGTCTGCTGCCCTCAGTCCGTTTCACCTGCTCTCTTCCAGGGGACCAGGACAGAGGTGACCCCCGGCACCCGCCGCAGCTGTGCAAGCTGCCCAGTGGGTCACTGTGACCTGCCAGCTGGTGAGGATGACCCAGCAGGACTGCTGCGGGGCACGAGCTCTGGGGAGCTCGGCTGTGATGGGTGCACCCCAGCCCTGGTGCCTCTGGGCCCCTTCCCAGGCTGCTCCATCTCCAAAGCACCGACACAGCTGCCCAGGACCACAGGCAGCCCCGCCCCACCCTGGCCGTAGCCCCATCTGCAGTAAAGGATGCAGGCAGGTGAGTCCCAGCACCCGGCGGGTGGGACATACTCTGTAACTGCCGAGGATCTCCTGCAAGTGGTGGCCAGAGGACTTGGTCCCCATCGTGGCGCTGCCCTCTTGGGGACAGCTTGGTTGGGTGGGTTCTTGCCTGAAGGCCAAGGCCTCCCTGTTCCATTCGCCCCACCCAAGGAGCAGACCTCAGGCCCCCAGCTCGCAAGTCTGTGTTAACAAGAGGCGCGGGACGACCCTGGCCCGGGGGATGGGTGAGGGACGGGACTCCACCCCAGACCCACCTGTCGCCTGGATCACGACAGGCCAGAGCCCCACCTCTCCTGATGGCCTCACCAGTCCCGTCCTCCCACAGCCCTTCTGAGAGCGGAAGGTTTACTAGGGCCCCGGGGAGCAGCCCTGGGGAGAAGAGAGAGCCCGTGGCAGGGACGGCAGCACAGACGCTTGCCGAAAGCCTACAGCACACAGGTCACAGGGGCAGACAGGAAAAGTCTGGCCACAAAGACCTGGCAGGGCTCAGAGACAGACACGGCCATTCCGCCCTGCGTGGTAAGTGCAGTGGAGGAGTGGGGTGGCAGGTGGGGGGAGGCTGAGAGGAGGCAGGGCTTGGAGGAGACCCCAGCGGAGTCTGCCGGGCAGGGAGGAGGAAAGGGTCCTGTGTGGTGGGAGCGGAGAGAGGTGTTGGCAGTGGATGACGGCGTGGATGGGGCCTGGGGAAGCACGGGGGAGGGTCAGGGAGGCGGGGGCCCAGGCTACCGATCCGGCTGCGACCTGCCCCAGCCGCCCTGCTCCCTGTGCCTCGGTGGGGCCGGCTGGGCAGACCCCGTACCTGCGGCTTCCTGGATGAAGGCGGGGTTGCGCTGCAGGATGAGCAGGAAGGACTGGGAGCCGTGGCTACACAGGTGCAGCATGATCTTCAGCACCTGGGGCGACAGATAGGTGGGGCCGAGCTGGGCCCAAAGGAGGGGACCCCACCCAGCAGAGCCCCCTGCCGCCGGCCTCACCTGGGGCAGGACCTGGGCCTCGACCTGACCCCGGGGAGGGCCTGCCGAGACGCTCAGACTCACCTTGAGCTTCACGCGGCCGGAGCCGCTGTGCAGGCGGCTCAGGAGGTACTCCAGGAGGCACTGGCTGCTGCCCAGGGACTCGTGGGAGATCTCTGGGAGGCACTCGGGTTAGGGAAGGGGCGAGCTGACCCTGGGCCGCAGGAGGCCGGCTGGCCGGGGGGTGGGGCGGGGAAGAAGCCGCGCTGCCCCGCTGCAGGCACCCACCCCAGGCCCTGGTTTGGGATGAATGCGGCCATTAGGCCCCGCCCACACTGGTTACTACGGGGACGGGGCCCGGGGCCCCTCGGGCAGGAGAAGCCCAGCAACCCTGCCCCAGCCCCCAGGCGTCCGCGGGAAGGATACTGGCGATCTCCTCAAACAGGTAGTCGGGGCACGGGACATCGTCGTCCGCCGTGCCCTTC